CTAATGAGCGTAACGGCACACAAAGAAACTCAGAAGAAACACACTGAGGTAAAAATTCAAAATGTTTAGTTTATTCATAACATGATTTAGTTAAGTAACGCCTTGAAAAGGGAGCTATTTTCCTGAATATTTTCACGATTGCAAATGTCACATTGATTTTAGTTCAACAGACAAGTAAATTAGTCGGGTAGTTATTAAGTTACTTACACTTTAGACACAATATTTACTGTTTTTGTTGAATTTCTACAACGAAAATAGTTGCAAACAAAGATCACAGCAGAAGTATTAAACTTTCTCCACTTTATTGAAGTGAATTAGGTTTAAATCGCCGTCATGCATGAATGTTTTATTAATGGACCCCTGTTTTACTCTACTGAAGCCTGATTTGTTCACGTTTGTGTAGCTGCACAAACCAATGGCACTTTAGCCCGCCAGAAAGGGCGTAGCCGACCTGTATATAAGTCGGCTAGCAGCACCATTCATCAGATCATTCGACTGAAGCCTGTCATCGATTCGCGCAGCAAGTGACACAACGCTCGTTCCCTTATCTCGGGGAACCGAGGTTACATCAGTAACCGGAGCATTCCCTTTCGAACGTTCACTTCACGTTATGTGTGCGGGGAACGCGTCCAATCATGCCGCGCTATGAGCAGATACAGGATCTCCTGATCTGCGAGCCCAGTCTCGGAGCACTAACAAGGACCCCTAAAAACCTGAGCACATTGCGCCCCAAGCTGGTAGCTGAGAGCTCTAATATAACCACTTTGCCCAAGGGGAAAAGTGGAACATCAAACAGACCGAACTCGTGCCTGCAAAGCAGGTACGTCTAAGTTATAAAATCTGGCAAATGTGGACGGTGACGGCCAGCCGGTGGCCGCACAGATCTCACCAATAGATATTCCGCTGGACCACGCCCAGGAGGAGGCCATCCTCTTTTGAAATGGGCACTCACACCTATAGGGCATTGCAAACCTTCTGATGCGTAAGCCAGGGCTATCGCATCTACAATCCAGCGAGAAAGTCGCTGCTTCGTGGCCGGCAGTTCTTCATGGCGGCATCCGAAGCAATCAAACAACTGCTCAGAGCTTCGAGAGAATGGTTCGCTGCGATAGCTGCCACGTATACTTTGAGTGTGGAGGGGGCGCGCCCCTTATCCAGCAGCTTTTGCAAAAAGGTTAGCACGTGGGACACATCACATGATATCAGGTACAAACTCTGTGCAGAACACCAGTTATGGAAGACCGACCATTTTTGGCTTTAAAGTCGTCTTGTAGACAACGCTCTTGCCTCCAAAATGGTATTGTTTACTCTCGCTGGGAGCTGATTAAGCTCGTGTCGAGGCACCATACATGAAGGCTCCGGCCGGGGATGCCAAATCATGTCTTCCGCCTGTGAGAGAAGATTCCTCATCAGCGGAATGGGCCACGGGACTGCTGCTGAGAGCTGCACTACCTCCAGGAACCAGGCCTGGTTCCTCCAGAGCGGGGCCACTTGGAGGAGAGAGCACTTGGTCTCCCTGTCCCGCCTGATGACCTGAGGAATCAGGGCAATCGGGGGAAATGCGCATAGGCAAGCACTTGGCCAATCGTGGGCCAGAGCATCTCGCTGTATCGAGAAGTATGTTGGGCAGTGAGAGTTGTCTTCTGAGGCAAAGAGGTCGACCTTTGCCCTCCCGAAGACTGACCAGATCTCTTGAACTTTGAGGGTGTAGCGCCCATTCGCCCGGGGCTACCTTGCCTCTTGACAGCATGTCTGCGCCAAGGTTCAATCTGCCCGGAACATGAATTGTCCTTAGTGAAAGGAGTTCTTTCTGTGCCCAAAAGAGGAAGGCGAAGAGCCATCCTGCAAAGAGTGTGTGACCTGAGACCGCCTCAGTGATTGATATAAGCCACCACCGTCATGCTGTCCGACCGGACCAAGACGTGGTGCCCTTTCAAGGCTGGAAGGAAGGTTTTCAGGGCTAAGAAAACTGCCAACATCTCTGAGCAGTCGATGTGCAGGCATTTCTCTGGGGCTGACCAGGAGTCGAACGCCGGATTGCCCTCCAACAGAGTGCCCCAACCCGAGTTGGACGCGTCTGTTGTGACTACCTTCCTTCTGGAGGTCAGGCCTAACCTCATTCCTGTTCCTTGACAGGAAACCGCGCCAGGCGTGGGGTGGAACGCGGGGTTTGAGCCAAAACTGAAGGGGCTGCTTCACGGGGTTTGAGCCAAAACTGAAGGGTCTGCATGTGAAGCAGGCCCAGAGGAATCACAGAAGCGGCGGCCGCCATAAGGCCAAGCAACCTCTGAAAAACCTTTTAGGGGGCGTGTCGTCCCCGGTTTGAGAGACGCCGCCAATCGCTGAATAGTCAGGGATTGTTCCGGCGTAATTCATGCCCGCATTTGGGCGGAGTCTAAAATTGTTCCCAGAAAGACCGTTTGCTGTCTGGGTAACAACTGACTCTTGTGCGGGTTGATGATCAACCCAAGGCGCTCCAAGTGGCTGAGTAACAGCTCTCTGTGAGCAGCCAACTCCCGATCTGACCTGGCAAGAACCAGCCAATTGTCGAGGTAGTTCAAAACACGGATTCTTATCTGTCTCAGAGGGGAAAGAGCCATGCACTTTGTGAAAGTGTGCAGGGCCAGAGACGGTCCAAACGGAAGGACTGTATGCTGATAGACCACTCTCTCAAATGCGAATCTGAAGAACGGTCTGTGATGGGGGGGTGGGGCTATGTGGATGTGAAAGTATGCATCTTTGAGATCCACAGTCAAAAACCAGTCCTCGGGGCAAATGTACGCGAGGATCTGTTTTACAGTTAACATCTTGAACAACCAGCGCATAAGCAAGTGGTTCAGACGCCTGAGATCCAGAATGGGTTTGAGCCCGCCATCTTTCTTTGGAACAAGGAAGTAATGGCTGAAAAAGCCTGACTCGCTGTTCGCTGGGGGCACTATTTCCACAGCACCTTTTGCAAGCTACGTTTGCACCTCCTGTTGGAGAATGAGTGCTTCGTTGTCCGGAACAGAAGTTGGAATGATGCCTCTGAAGCGAGGTGGTCTGCGAGTGAACTGGAGCGAATAACCTCTTCAAATTGTTTTTAAAATCCAACTTGACACTCCCGGAATGGCTGCCCAAGCCATGAAACGGGAGGCGAGAGGGTTTATTTTTTCGAATGAGAGCTCGCCGAGAAAAGACGGGGAATTCGCATTCACGTGAGTGTGAGAGAGAGAGAGAGAGAAGAGGAAATTTGCTCTTTATTGTATGTGGGTCCGCTATCACAGCGGTAATACATTCAGGTACGCGCTGCACCTGCAGGACGTGACCCGCTGGAAACGAAACTCCATTGCTCAGAGGTGCTCGGAGTGATGGAGAATGAAAGCGAGCTGTTTTGTGGGTCGTTCCGGCCGAGGCGAGAACAGAGCCCCTCCTCTTCCTCTCTAGCGCATCAGGATGGCTTAGGTGGCTCGGGGTCTAGCACAACCAGATGAGTCTGGCTTTGGCCTCGGAGCTTGAGAGGGGGGAGGGACTTCGGGCTCATCGCCGGAATCTACCCACTCTTCTGTATCGGACACTGCCAAGGACATGGAGTCGTCGGCAAAAACGTCCTCGCTGAGCCGACGTGACACTCCTCGAGCCCTCTGAGAAGGACCCATTGTGCCCGTCCGTCTCATGCAAGGGGTCCTTGCATGAGCCAAACTTGCGGCTCGACATTTGAAACAACGTGCGCTGAGAAATTTGCTCTTTAGGAATCGCTCTTGCTTGCTCTTCAAGTGCCAGATGGCCACAGTGAATCCTCACTGCTTAGGCGTCTTCGACGGCTGCGAGCAGAGCTGGAGCTTCTTCCTCGGCTTCTTCCAGAGTCAGCGAAGAGATGATCCTCGTCGCTGAAGGAGAATGATCTGATGAATGGCGCTGCGAGCCGACTGCCGTCGGCTCCACCCTTTCTGGCGGGCTAAAGTGCCATTGGTTTGTGTAGCTACACAAACGTGAACAAATCGGGCTTCAGTACAGAGTAAAACAGGAGTTTTCCCCATACACACAATGTGAAGTGAACGTTCGAAAGGGAACATGAAGCTAATAAACATGTTTACAATAGTAAATGATTTGATTTTCAGTGATTTTCATAAGATTCTGCCTATTTTTATAATACAGGGTGTTGACATGAGAAATGCTAAGCAAGTGTAACAATTAGCTTGATATAAAATACTGCAAATGACATTTCAGCAACGTTGTATGGCCTAAACACATTAGATCGCAATCGGAAGTTATTACAAACACTCGATGGTGGTTTAAAGTGAGTTTTTAGTAAAAGCGTAGTATAAATCCTATAAATTGTCTTATGTAGCATAACGCTACAGTGTGTATGAATGGTTATGCAACATGTTTTTAGTCGTTTAATGTGGACAGAGTTCTTTTCTGAAATGCAGTGGAAATGCCAGTATGGATTACAGCATTTTCATTTTAAAACGGCATTTTTAAATGAAAATGATCCTCGTGTAAATATAGCCTTACATCTATGGGGTTGTGATGCTTACACACTACAGCCTCAGGTATGAGCCACGTTTCTGGGTGTAACCTAGTGCTTTTCCTTAATGCTTCACCAGAGCCAATCACCAGCACTTGATTTAGGCACATCAAGCATGCTTATTGGCTCACTGAAACAAAATGTAAAAGATGTTCTGAGATTACATGCAACACGTATTTCAGTAGTTAAGTGTATATGAGGTTGTACAACACGTGTTGTTGGTTTTAATGTTTGACATGTTTTTGTCTTTTTTTTAGCATTAGACCTGACAGCAATTAAAGAGGAGAATGAAGTGCTGAATGAAATGGAAGAGAAAGATCAGTATGAGAACCATCATGATTTCATAACTGAAGAAAAATCTTTCAATTGCTCACAGACTAAAAAGGCTTCCTCACAAAAAAGAGTTAAAAAAGCGATAGGAACTAGAAGTTGTTTAACCTGCTTTCAGTGTGGAAAGCTTTTCACTCAACATGGAAACCTTAAAGCCCACATGAAAATTCACAAAGGAGAGAAGCCTTTCACCTGCCAACGGTGTGGAAAGAGCTTTTATCTACAAGGAAGCCTCAAGGTCCACATGAGAATTCACAAAGGAGAGAAGCCTTACACATGTCCTCAGTGTGGAAAGTGTTTTGATCAGCATGGAAACCTTAAAATCCACATGAATATTCATTCAGGAGAAAACCCTTTTACTTGCCAACAGTGTGGAAAAAGTTTCAATCAAAAAACAAACCTTATCAGGCACATGAGAATTCACACTGGAGAGAAGCCTTACTCATGCCCGCAGTGTGGAAAGGCTTTTCATCAGCATGGAAACCTTAACGTCCACATGAAAATTCATACAGGAGAAAACCCTTTTACTTGCCAACAGTGTGGAAAAAGTTTCAACCGAAAAGGAAACCTTAAATGCCATATGAGAATTCACACTAGGGAAAAGCCTTACACATGTCATCAGTGTGGAAAAAATTTTGATCAAAATGAAAAGCTTGAAGTACACATGAGAATTCACACTGGAGAAAACTCTTTCACCAGCCAACAGTGTGGAGTAAGTTCCACTCAGAAAGGGATTTGCAATAGGGACATGAAAATTCACACTGGGGAGAAGCCTTACACATGCCCTCAGTGTGGAAAGGGTTTTCATCAACTTGGAAACCTTGAAGTCCACATGAAAATTCATTCAGGAGAAAGCCCGTTCACTTGCCAGCAGTGTGGAAAATGTTTCACTCAAAAAGGAAGCCTTAACAGGCACATGAGAATACACACTGGAGAGAAGCCTTACACATGCCCTCAGTGTGGAAAGGGTTTTCATCAACTTGTAAACCTTGAAGTCCACATGAAAATTCATACAGGTGAAAGCCCTTTTACCTGCCAACAGTGTGGAAAACATTTCAACCGAAAAGTAAACCTTAATTATCACATGAGAATTCACACTGGAGAAAGCCCTTTCACTTGCCAGCAGTGTGGAAAATGTTTCACTCAAAAAGGAAGCCTTAACAGGCACATGAGAATACACATGGGAGAGAAGCCTTACTCATGCCCTCAGTGTGGAGTAAGTTTCACGCAAAAAGCGGTTCTCAATAGGCACATGAGAATTCACACTCGAGAAAAACCTTATTCATGCCTGCAGTGTGGAAAAAGTTTTGATCAACAGGGAAACCTTAACATCCACATGAAAATTCATACAGGACAAAACCCTTTTACCCGTCAACAGTGTGGAAAAAGTTTCAACCGAAACGGAAACCTTAACGTCCACATGAGAATTCACACTGGAGAAAACCCTTTCACCAGCCAACAGTGTGGAGTAAGTTTCACTCAAAAAGCGGTTCTCAATAGGCACATGAGAAATCATACTAGGGAAAAGCCTTACACATGCCATCAGTGTGGAAAGAGTTTTGATCAAAATGAAAAGCTTGAAGTACACATGAGAATTCACACTGGAGAAAGACCTTTCCCCTGCCTTCAGTGTGGAAAACGTTTCAATCAAAAAACAAACCTTAACAGGCATATGAGAATTCACACTGGAGAGAAGCCTTACACATGTGTTCAGTGTGGAAAGAGTTTTCATCAACATGTAAACCTTAAAGTCCACATGAGAATTCACACTCGAGAAAAACCTTATTCATGCCTGCAGTGTGGAAAAAGTTTTGATCAACAGGGAAACCTTAATGTCCACATGAAAATTCATACAGGACAAAACCCTTTTACCTGTCAACAGTGTGGAAAAAGTTTCAACCGAGAAGGAAACCTTAAGTACCACATGAGAATTCACACTGGAGAAAAACCTTTCACCAGCCAACAGTGTGGAGTAAGTCTCACTCAAAAAGGGATTCTCAAAAGGGGCATGAAAACCCACACTGGGGAGAAGCCTTACACATGCCCTCAGTGTGGAAAGGGTTTTCATCATCATGGAAACCTTAAAGTCCATGTGAAAATTCATACAGGAGAAAGCCTTTTTACCTGCCATCAATGTGGAAAAAGTTTTAACCGAAAAGGAAACCTTAATGACCACATGAGAGTACACACTGGAGAAAGCCCTTTCACTTGCCAGCAGTGTGGAAAGAGTTTCACTCAAAAAGGAAGCCTTAACAGGCACATGAGAGCCCACACTGGAGGGGAAGTCCTACATATGCCCTAAGTGTGGAAAGTGTTTCATTCAGCATGGAAACCTTAAAGTCCATATGAGAATTCACATTGGAGAAAAGCTGTAAATATCCCCTCAGTGTGGAAAGAGTTTTGATCAACATGGAAACCTTAAAGTCCATGTGAGAGTTCATACTGGAGAGCCATTTCAACTGTCAACAATGTGGAAAAAGTTTTAACCGAAAAGGAAATCTTAATTACCACATGAGAATTCAAACTGGAGAGAAGCCTTTTACCTGCCAACAGTGTGGAATAAGTTTCACTCAAAAGGAGATGCTTAACAGGCACATGAGAATTTACACCAGAGAGAAAAGGTTTTAATCAACATAGAAACCTTAAAGGGTTAGTTCACCCAAAAATGAAAATTAGCTTGTGTTTTACTCACCCTCGAGGCATCCTAGGTGTGTACGACTTTCTTCTTTCAGACGAATCCAGTCTGAGTTATATAAAAAATTGTCCTGGCTATTCCAAGCTCTATCATTGCAGTCAGCGGGTGTTGCAGATGAACAGTCCACAAGTCGTCAAATAAAGCGTTCGCATTCATAATAAAACGTGCCTCACACGACTCCGGGGGGTGAATAAAGGCCTCCTGTAGCGAATCCAGCGGAGAGAGAACAAAACAAAACGCCGGTCATGAATTAGAAGTACAAACCGAGGATTTGTAAAGGTTTTCCTTTGCTAAAGTAAGGAAACTTTGCTTCGTTTGCTCCTATAAACAAACTCGCGAGACTAGCATATCTTAGAGGCGCGCGCGCTGTGCATACGCCTTCTGCCGGAACGGATCCGCGGTATGACAGATAACGGAAGTGAGAGAAAAGTGTTTATTACGTTTGAAATATGGATATTTTTCTTACAAAAACGCATGCATTCACTACAGGAGGCCTTTACTCACCCCCCGGAGCCGTGTGAGGCACGTTTTATTATGAATGCACGAGCTTTATTTGACGACTTGTGGACTGTTCAACTGCAACACCCGCTGACTGCAATGATAGAGCTTGGAATAGCCAGGACAATTTTTAATATCCGACTGGATTCGTGTGAAATAAGAAAGTCATGTACACCTAGGATGCTTCGAGGGTGAGTAAAACACAATCCAATTGTCATTTTTGGGTGAACTAACCCTTTAAAGTTCAGATGAGAAGTCATACTGGAGAGTCCTTTTACCTGCTTACAATGTGGAAGTTTCGGCAGAAGTTTACACTGAAAATGAATCCATAACTGGCTCGTGAGAATTCAGAGCAGAGAGAAGGCATTTACATGTGATCTGTGTGGATAGAGTTTCAGATAGACCTACCCCTTAAACTTAATCCTTGAGGATACACTCAAGAAAATATCATTAAAGTGGTAGGAGTTTCACAGACAGGAAACACTTATGAATCATGTAATAACTCTCATTGGAGATAAGTCTTTCACTGTGGAAAGATATTTTTCACTTGCCCCCAGTGTGGAAAGAGTTTCAACCTTAAAGGGATAATTCACCCAAAAATGAAAATTACCCCATGATTTACTCACCCTCAAGCCATCCTAGGTGTATATGACATTCGGTAGCCCAAAATTTGAAGTCCAAAAAATTGAACCAATCCATTGTAAAAGAAGTCCACACGGCTCCGGGGGGTTAATAATGGCCTCCCGAAGCGATGCGTTTGTGTAAGAAAAATATCCATATTTACAACCATATTTACAACTTAATTTACAACAAAAATCTTAATTTCTAATTGGAGGATTTCAATATAAGCCAAGAGGACACTGGTTTTCCTTTGCTGTAAACAAAACTTGTTTCTTGTGAGACTAGCATATTCTCACCGGAGTTTACGCTACGTCTACGTCCTACATCATCCGCTGGACGCCACTCTTGTGAACGCGCGTACGACAGTTAGCGGAAGTTAGAGATTAAGGTTTATAAAGTTGTGAATATGGATATTTTTCTTACACGAACGCATCATTTCGCTTCGGAAAGCTTTTATTAACCCAACAGAACCGTGTTGACTTCTTTTATAATGGATGGGTGCAGTTTTTTGGACTTAAAATTTTGAGCTACCATCCACTCCCATTATAAAGCATGGATTAGCTTGAACATTATTCAATATAACTCTGATTGTATTCGTCTGAAAGAAAAAAGTCATATACATTTAGGATGGCTTGAGGGTAAGTAAATCATGGGGTATTTTTCATTTTTGGGTGAACTAACCCTTTAAAGGAAACGTGATCATTTACATGGGACTTCACAATGCAAAAAGGTATTTCACAGGCCTTCAGAGTGAATAGTTTCATATATCAAAGAGACCTGAAATATGGAGTGCTACTCAGTGTGGCAGAAGATTTACAAAAAAAGGAATTTCAGTAATCAGTTGTGCATTCATTCTGGAGGCAATTTGTGTAAATGTGAGACTCTATTTTGTTCTTTGTGATGTCATTACTCATATAAATACACATTGTCATTTTTTTTTTTTTTTAAATGTGTTTTCACTAGTGTTTATAACCCAAGTTTGGGACCAACATAAGTCATGCAAAAAAAAAAAAAAATGTTGCAATGCCCAGGGAAAAAAGATAAACAAGAAAGAATATACAAGTATTTTTACATCCCAGCGCATAATATTATTATTTGTTGTTGTTGTTGTTGTTTTATATTTGATTGCCATACTGTGTGTAAGTAGGTCTCTCTCTTTTTACTTCCATGCTTTTATGTTGAGAATTGTAAATACATACCACACTTTTGCTTGGAAATTTTGTGTAATCTTGTCCTCTTTCCTTTTTTTTTAGTTGTTATTCCTCTCCAACCCTAAACTGAGGATAGGACATGATAATTGGGGGCTTGTCTGTTAACAACAATTGGAAACATAAATTTAAATGGGTGGTTGACTGTTTTTTTTTTCTAGGCTTGTGTTTATGGGGTCAGAGCTTAAAGTTCTCAGGCACCGTGCCGGATCGCCTGCGTGCGGCGTTTGGCTGTGGGAAAAAAAAGATAGTCATCCTACATTTAAAAACACTTCTGGATATCACGTTTGAGTTCAAATAAACGTTTCTGACTTTGCATGTGGCCAAATATTAAAATTAAATGGATTTAACGTTTAACGTCGTTGAATCACATGAAACATCATTAGGCCGTTGGCACCCTCTGCAGGTATTTGTTATAATATAGGCATATTACATTATGTATTTAACAGTGTTGTTCAATATAACCATGTACTTGGTTTTGATACCTTATTTGAGGCCAATTATTATTGCCTCATCGTTACTTTATATATAAATATAGTCATATTAAAGCCTGTTTTTCACTCACGGCTAAAATAAAAAACATGATGTTTCAAAAACATCAGATTACTCACTTGTCAAAATAATCAGTAGATTACTTGATTAGCAAAATAATCATTAGTTAAGCCCTAGATTAGTTAAAACATTTCAAAATACAACTGCATTGTTTT